CTGTGTCTACGGGGACAGAGTAAAGCAAACTTCAGAAAGTATCACAATTTGCCAAAAAATTGACCACAAGTAGCTATCGGACTGCTTCTGAAATAATGAAAGTGCTTTTGCACCTATAGGACAGATGTTGGCCCCCTAAAATAGCAAGCTTCGACTCGATTCGAAAGTGATACTGGAATTTACCCCAAAGAGAACAGCTTGTCTTCACGTCTAGGGACGTGTTATGCTCTCAGGACGTGTCAGGACAGAAATCCTTTTTTACGTTGTTGGACCCAACTACTTAAAAAGCAAAGCTGTTAGTTATTTCTTTTGGCCTAAAGGAACCAAGAACATTTGGAAAACTCTGCACTAGTCTATCTGTGAAGCCTCCAGCTCAGAAAACCTTGAACAACCCAAGCATAAATAAGGCACCCCTTAGAGAGAGACCCCGCTGAGCAGCTTTGTCTCCCTGTTGGAAATTACCCCGAACCCCTGTTCGTGCCCTTTATTTCCATCCTGACTTCCCTGTTCCACCAACTCCAGCCTTGCTCAGCCTGCTCAGCGCTAGGGACAGGGCACTCAGGACCTGACCTCCCCAAAGTCTTGGGTTCGGGCAGGGCAGGCCCACGCAGTTCCCTTCCTCCTATCTCACCTACAGCGAGACCCAACCCTGCATCTCACCTGCTCATGATAAACGAGCCAGAAGCTGTTACCTAGAGATGGTTGTCACCAGAAAGGAGGACACAGGGCTCACCAGGCTGCCAGGCTGCCAAGGTCAATGCACCTCATTCCTGCCTGGAACACTGTGCACCTCTAGATTTCCCAAAGATTGACTTTTTGCACTCCTGGGAAGAAGCTGCTACATCTTCGCTCTGCAGTGTTGCTCTCCTACTGAAAACACCTTGCCTTTTCCAGACCACCAGAGGGCTGGCCCAGAGGAGCCCATTCCAAACACCAAGTCTGCTGCCCCGAATATTGGTGTTTCCCAGGGCTTCACCCTTGGCCCCTGCCCCTTGGGGATCCCCTTGGGGATCTTACCCACCCCCATGGTTTCACCTGCCTGACTCAGAATCAGTTCTCACTGCCCAGATCAGATGGGCGCTTCAGCTCTACATTTCTGCGTGCTTACTGGACATCAGTGCAGGATGGCCTCCAGCCAACCTCACTCTCAATTCCTCTGTGGCCAGCTTCATCTCTTATGTTCCCTTTGTCAGCCGTGGGCACCATCCTGCACACAGTGAGTTAGACTCCTGGGTATCATCCCAAAGCTTTCTCCCTTACTTGCACCCAGTTATTCAAAACGTATTTGACCTCCAATGTCTCTCCATTCCTACTGCCAAACTTCGCAACATTTCAAGCCTGGGAAAATACAAAAGACTCTGCCTCTTCACCCTGTAGTCTGATTCCCCCAAATCCATGTCTCAAGCAGCCAACAGAGGGGTCTGTCAAGACTTTAAACGCTTCTCGGGGTTTCCAAGGACTAAAGCAGAGATTCCCCAAAATGCCTGATGATAAATCATCTAGGCTGGATGTTAAATATTAAAATTCCAACCCAGACCTAATAGACTAGAATCTCCAGGGAAGATGCTTGGGAATCTGCATGTTAACAATGGCCCTGGAGATTCTTATCATTAGGCAAGGTTGAGAATACTGGCCTACAAAATCAAGTGTAAATTCCTTAATATTCAGTACAGGCCCCTCCACTATCAGCCCTGCCTGCCTCCCCTCGTTACCCACTGCTGGCCTGACATTCCAGTTCAGGCTCCAGCAGTCCTGACCCACGGCTGTAGGGCCCTCCATCCACTGATTTACCGTCCCCTCTGGCTCCCTGCCCCACGTAAACAGCCAGTGTCCGCTCAAGCACTGCCCCCTGCCTCATCCTTAGGGGCCCTCCTGTGCGTGTGCACAATGCTCCATGCACACCTTTATCACTGCACCTGACTCCATGACATCGTATCTGTTTCTGTATCTGCCACCCTCTAAACAGATCCGTCCCTGTGTCCCCAAGTTTCCAGCAGAGCAGATGTACCATAAAATAAATGCCCACTGAGTGAGGGATAAATGAATCTACCGAGCACTGCAGGACACTGCAGTCCATATTATTTTCCAATGTAATGTCTTCGCTGAGCCCAGCAAAGCTTCCTCAGCTGAACTGATCATCTCTCTGAAGGCTGCCACTCATTTCCTCATCATGTTTGCTACTCTTCTCTAGACTGAATCTATCTTTCTGAAAGTGAGGTTCCCCAAACGGGCGGTGTGGTCCACATTAGTGTCTCCCCAGCACGGTACACATGACACAACCAACTTCCTTCTCAGGGACACCAGGCCAACTTACTGTATGCGGATGGAAATAACACAGGCTGTTCCTGCTGCCATATCACCCTGCAGATGCGCATCTAATTCACCACCGACATCACCAAAGTCCCTTCACAGAGAGCCTCCCGTTGACTCTCCAACACTGCCTGTGATTCGTTTTCCCCAAATGTATCACTCTGCCATTTTCCAAATTGAATCTCATTCTGGTATTTCCTGCTCGTATTTCTTACCTCCCTGGATTCCCTTTTCATTATGTTTTACTCCTTGCTGATGTTAAGAACTTCCCAATTTTGTACTTTCTGTAAAGTTCATTAAGGTGATGTGTGCCCCCTTTTCAATGTCATTGATAAAACAATTAAATGAAATCAAACCTAACATCAACCCTCCTGGAAACCGCTCCAGAGGGTTCCAACACCATGTGTCACTTAGGGCTTTTGGATCCACGTCCTCTGCGGGCAGGGCTTCTGGCTCAGTGAAATGGTCACATGGCATAAGCAACTGAAGAAACTGTGTAACATTCCTTGCCTTTCCTTCTACCTCTGTGTGATAAAAATGACACTAAGTTCACGTGGTATGACAGGTTCTCTAAAATAAGCCAAGCGTGACTCCACTGTCACCCAGAGGATCACACATTTTCATTCTTCATTATTTATCATATCGTTTGGTACCAACAACACTGAAGTCAGGAGCTCTCCCCACCCACGATCTCATACATATGCGGTTTCCAGACAAACCCCAATTTACTACTTCCCCATTCTTCAAAATCCCCAATTCTCCATCATATTTTAATAATTTGCACAGTTAAAACATAAAATGGCAACTTATGCTTTGTCCCAAATTAATATAGCCAATATTTTTTTAGCCCCATACTTTCAGAGGTGTCTTCAGGAAAAAAGTCATGACAAATTTATTTATTAACATAGTTTTTTTCCCCAATAATTGCTACTTTTTTTTTTTTTTCACCACACACACACATGTTCAAGGACTTACTCTGATCTGGGGGAAACTCAAAAACACACAGAGTAAAATAAAGCAAGTAACACTGCAATTATGGGGGCAAACTGTTATTTGGTCTGTTCTTAAATTTCTGTTCCAGTTTCTCATTTTGCATGACACTGGTAAAGCACTCTGCAAGCACGTGGCTAATGAGCTGGACTTCGTCAGGAGCCAGCATCTCAGGGACCAGCAGGGATGCGACAGGCTGCAGTTTACACACAATTCCCTGGACACGCCTTGTAACTCCACCCCTTCCTCTTCCACTCATAAGAGCAAATCAAAGTACCGAGAAGTGGGGAAAAGAGATTAGTTCCACTGAAGTCTTAAGAACCACCTCAGGTTTTTGCAGCACGTACCCAAATAAATGTTCTAGAAGGAACCCAGCTTCATTCACTGAAAGTAGATGCACATGAAATAACGGACTTGATGACGGCACTCACTTGAATGTAGGAAATCCTTTTACCTATTCTAACTGGCAGAGCGGTCGTCACTGCCGAGAGATTTACTACACGGCTCCGGAATACACCCAGACATAAAAATTAAAAGGGCATATATAAGATCTTATGTTTCAGAGCCAAGTAGTATGCAGAGTGGATTCCCTCCTTAGCCTGTGGTCATCCGATGTACTCTTCTATTTTCTGTGCCAAAATACGTATTTATATTAATAGTCATTTGTTTTCCTGAATTAATTTGCTTAAGGAGAAAAAGCGCACAACATTTCAGATGATATATCATTCCGTGCTTAAGAACATTAAAATAAGCAAACTCCAAAGACAAATGAAGTTGGACTATCCATGTAAATTATTTACTTTAACATATAGGATATTAAAAATAGTTGTGAATATCACAACTGAGTTTTATCCCTTCGACAACATCACTAATGCCTTTAATATTATATGACATGTATACAACAAAATTAGATTCTTTTTCACACTTGGGATCATCAGCTTTACTCTGTGATTCTCTTGATCTTCTACCAGACCACATTCAGGTTCCAAGCACTCAAAGATGTAATTTTAGTACACAGTAGCCAGTCTTATTAAAATTGTGAGAGGTGTCTTCTTGAATGGAACTTCAGTGGCAAAAAATGATAGCCCTCAAATATGGCACTGGGTAGCTAAGTTGTTCCGGAACGCGGCCCACGCCTCCTATCTGTCTCCAGGAAGGGAGGGCCACCTCTGGTCCCTTGCCCACTTTCGGATGAATTTCTCAGTGAGCTGTTGCCGGAGGCTTGGATCAGTTCCTCTGGGCGATGGGTCAGAACCACTGAGGCTGCCCTGCTCTGAGGCCTGGCAACTCACATCAGGCATCACGACCTCCCAATGCGGGCCTCCTCCTATAGGTGCCCGGCACCCTGCCAGGCAAAGCGATCAAGGCTGTGCAGACCTGAGCTGGAGGCAAAGTACACAGCCAGACCAATCTTTCAGCTGCAAAACAGGTTTTGGCCAGGGGTGGGTTGGGTGGCATGGGGCCAGACACTTGTCCCTTTCTGTTCAGCCTTCCACGCCTATAATACAAGTCAGCCACAGCATCCATGTAAAGATCTATCCTCATTCCCAGGCCTGCCTCATATGGCTTGGCCCTTAGAGGCCAAGAAGATGTGTTCTAGCTCAGCAGAGCCGTCCTGGAGGCCACTGCCTGGCCAGCTGGAGGGAGGCCCACTGACCTGTCACCCTCCCACTCTCCCCAGAGAGTGGATGCACCCTTACCTCTCATTTCTGTCGCCGAGGAGCCGTTGGACCAAGCTGTCCACTTATTCCTGTGCTTGCTGATTTCCTGGACTTTGCAGACGTAATGCCCTTGATCGGCTGGCCGGAGGGTCAAGACAGAGAGGGTGTAGAGCACCCCGCGCCGCTCCTCAAGGAGGCGCAGCCTCTGACGGTAGGCGCTGCGGCTGAAATTCCCATAGTACTGCACCACCCGGAGCTTGGTCATCTTAACCATCAGGGCCTCCTGGGAGTCCGGGCGCGCGAAGAACCAGCGTACGGCCAGCAAGCTGTCCTTCCGCCTCTTCTGGGAGACGTGACAGAGAAGAGTAGCATTTTCCCCCTCCAGGTAGTCAACCACGGGCCCCGGGGACACGGTGACATTGAGGGCCCCACAGACCTCTGCAGAGAAAAAAGGAAAGAAGAAAATGAGGAAGGCCACCGCCTTTCCCCAGGTGAACACACATGGCGTCTTCTCTCCAGGAGCCAGGTTGGTCTGCATGGCCAGAGAGGTGGGCCACCCCCATCCCCTCTATGCTCACTCTGCCTTCTCAAAAGAGCCCTCCTTGGGGTGTGGAGTGTGCCTCTGTGGGCACCCATGTCCTCATCTATGAGATGATCCCAGCCAAGCGGGATGCCATGGACCACCTGGCCCAGATGTATTTTTTTTTAATTTTAATTACTTGCTGACATCTAAAATTCAGGACATATCATATAAAGATTTGGATTTGGGGAAGCTCTTAAAAATTTCCAGCTCACATCCAATCCCCCCTCCCCACCTGCCTCCCAAGGCCTGCTTCCATCAGTTTCATCACCTCCCTGAGTGGAAAATGCTGTAGCCCCTTTCCCTGTCTCAGGTATTTCAACTGTAACCAAGGCAGATTATCAGTACCGGTCAGGCGGGTGTTAAACCTGTACCAGGGAGCTGGAATGACAGGGGTGTCTCAGTTTCTTGCTCCAAGTCTCTTAGGACCAGGATCCATGGTCAAGGAGTTGAAGTGCAAGAATAAAGAATGAATGAGCCCAGGAGCAGGGAGGGGTGCCAGACTCTCCCAGCAACCCAAAAGATGCTCCAGGATTCCAGGCCCAGGCCGCTACTTCCTGTCCTTTGGCTTCTTAGTTAGGGCTGCCCCTCCTAGCCGCCATTCTGCCCCAAGCTGACTTTTGAGAGTGCCACTCCCTGGCCACCCAAGATCATCCAGCCTAGCTGCCCTCACAGAGGCCTCCTCCCAGGAGACGCGCTGCATGGCGTCTGCAAGGATTGTGCAGTGCGGCGGCGCAGCTCCGGAGCTCACGGTCGGGGAAACCTCCGCCTGGCAGGCAGAGCCCAGAAAGGGACAGGAGGTCCAGAGCTTCCTTCTGTCCAAGCTGGGTTGTCTTCTCACCAGGTCCCACATCGTCACCCCTGCGCTGCCCGGCACATGACTCCAGGAAGCACCATTCCCTGCCCACTCCAGTGCTCGAGCAGGTGCCCCCAAGGTCATCCCAAATTACAAATGGCCCCCAAACACCGCCTTCTGGTCACATGAAGGGACTTGGGCCCTGATGGCAGAGTCACCCAAAGCTTGGAACTCTGGTCAGTGCTGCAGGTAAGCAAGGAGGAAGGATGAAAAAGAGAGCAAAGGTTTGGACCTTCTGCTGTGAATAGGCTGTGAGTCAACAAGGTGAGGCCCTGTGTGTGTTGGGGTGGTGGTTACTGGGGGGGAGTGTGACCTACAAAGTATCCTTCATTGTAAAAACCCAGGCAATAAGCTCATCCTTATGTATGGTTTCCACTATTGATTTAATAAACTAAACACCTTGAGAGATATGACTTAGGGTCAATTTCATTTCATTTTCTTTCTCATCTCTTAAAAGCCAGGCCACCAGGACACTCCAGGATACTCCAAGATCCTTAACTTAATCACACCCATGAAGCACCTTTTGCCATATAAGGTGACATTCATAGTTCCAGGGATGAGGACGCAGACATCTTTGGGGGTCATCATTCAACTCACTGCACTGTGATAGTCTTTTGTCACCATAAAAAAAAAAAAATGATGGAAGTGAATTCAGAAGAAAAAGGTTGATGCTTGGCTGGACTCAGCTCTTCGTGGACAAGAACGAGGTCTTCTAGGTCTACAGTGACAAAGGACAAAGCCGCCCAGGGAGATACTCGGGGAATGCAGATCAACAGGTAACCAAGGAAGGCACACGCTCCCGAGTAACAATCTCACTGTCCACACAAGTCACTCACGCAGGACAAAAAGAGGAGGAACTGCCCTTACCGTCTTCCTGCACCTCACCCACCCGGCCCCCACCCTGCCCACACACCATGTTAAATTAGTCCAAAAGCATTTTCCCCGAATGCCAGGATCCAGGCTGAAGTTCACACGGGTCCCACAGCAGGAGTTCCCTGGTGAGTGGCCACACAGCCGGAAACACCAGGCTGACCCCACTCCACTAGCTGCCCGGGGGTTCGGCAGGTCGAGAGCAGCAGAGATGGAGCAGCTGGCTTCCAGAACTGAAGTCCCGCTCTGCCCGCCCCCGAGGGCTCCCCACTGGAGACAAGGAGAAGGCAGGAAATTGAAACAATATGGATGGGATGAGAGCACAGCCAGGACCCCACACCCTAGTCTCCTCCTATCAATGCCGCATGAAGGAGGGATTATTTATAGTGACTGAAACCAGGAGAACGTGCCAAGTGCTCCAGTCCCCATGAGAGGCCAGATTCCATCCTACAGGCGAACTAGTAACTCTTCCTCTTCTGCAGCTCAGGCCGCATCAGCAGCTCCCAGGAAAGGGGACGGACTGAACTATCTTCCCCAGAGGAGCCCTCGTTCTTGCTTTACTGGTGTGCCTCTCTGCCTTCAGTTAGCCCCATACTCTCTTACAAATGGCCCAGGCACATTTCTCCCACTGAAGTGCAAGACCCTTGTTACGGGCTGAACGGCATCCCCTGCAAATTCCTGTACTGAAGCCCGAATCCCCAGGACCTCTGAATGGGGCTGTATTGGAGAGAAAGCCTTTAGAGAGATGACTAAGTTAAAATGAGGCCCATAGGGTGTACCCCAATCCAACATGACTGGTGTCCTTATAATGAGGGGAGATTAGGACGCAGGCACAGACAGAGGAAAGACCATGTGAAGACACAGGGAGAAGACAGCCATCTATAGGCCAAGTAAAGAGACCTCAGAAGACACCAACCCTGCAGACACCTTGACCTCAGACTTCTGGCCTCCAGAACTGGGAGAAACAAAATTCTGTTGTTGAAGCCCCCTGTCTGTGGCACTTTGTGATAGCAGCCTTGCTCTCAGGAAGGTTCATTTCAGGCCTAGTCCTACCACCAGCCCGAATATTTACACCCACTTTCAATGAGAGCGTATGGGGGTGGGACTGAAACGATGATGCTCACAGTCTCCGCGGCAGCGTTAAGCTTTGCTAGAAGACACAGGCTCTCAGGTTGTGTGGATCCCTGTGCCTGCAACGACCTTTCTCAGAAATCTGGTGCCCCAGCTAATGCCCTCCCCTTGACACTGGAAATGACTACCCTAGAAATGACTACCCTAAGCCCAGGGAACACAACTCAGCTCTCAGGCACACAGCTGTGAGGAGTGGCACTGCTTGAGGGAGGGGAGAAAATGCAGATAGAGGACCCAGTGCTTGGCCAATGTTAGCTGAGCTGGATGTTTAAATACTAGGAGAGAGCATCACACAGCTTCTGCCCCATGGCAGTCATCAGGCTGCAGAGGGGCCAAGAGGCAGGCAGTGGAGGCAGGCTGACTAGAGTGTGGGGCCGGGGCCGGGGGGGTTCAGGCCTTTCCCTTCTGGGTCTCCACACCTTGCAGGGCAGAGGGGCAAGGCAAGCAAACTACAAGACAGGGGAGGTGGGGTGTCACTAGACCCTCTGACACCAGGTAAGGTAAGGGAGCAGCCAGGGGCAGGGCAGAGTCTTCTCTCTCCTGGCCAAGGAGGGAGAAGCATCGAAGTCATTCTAGGCTGGAGAATTTAATTTCTTGCTTTCTGACCCTGCACTGCAGGGAAAGGAGGTGGGAGGTAGATCCCCCGCCCCCATCCCCTGGCCACCTCCACATTCAGTGCTCCGCTTCCTCCAGCTTACACCCCAGCTTATGCTTTGTTCACTTAATCACTCAACAAATAGTTGCTGAGAACTGCCATGTGCCAGACACTGTGAGAAGAAGACACATTCCCTAACCTCGCAGAGGTGAGAGTCCAGTGGGCTAGGCACTGGTCATCAGGAAAAAGACACAGGAGAATGTGACTACAAACAGCAACACATGCTACAGAGAAAAGGTGTGGGGCTTATGAAAATCAGGGTGAGAGACTTCCCTGGTGGCGCAGTGGTTAAGAATCCGCCTGTCAATGCAGGGAACACGGGTTAGAGCCCTGGTCGGGGAAGATCTCACATGCCGCGGAGCAACTAAGCCTGTGTGCCACAACTACTGAGCCTGTGCTCTAGAGCCCGCGAGCCACAACTACTGAGCCCGTGTGCCACAACTACTGAAGCCCACGTGCCTAGAGCCCGCGCTCCGCAACAAGCGAAGCCACCGCAGTGAGAAGCCCGCACACCACAACGAAGAGTAGCCCCTGCTGGCCGCAACTAGAGAAAGCCAGTGTGCAGCAACAAAGACCCAAAGAAGCAAAAAAATAAATAAATAAATTTATTAAAAAAAAAAAAAAATCAGGGTGAGATTCTGATCTCTGCGTGTCAGGGAGGAAAGAGACCCTGGAGAGGTGACCCTGAGCTGAAGGCTGAGGTAGAATTCATGACATAAATTCAGGGCGGCAGTGAAGAATGATCTTCCTGGAAGACGATTCTACCTGTGCAAAGGCCCTGAGGCAGGAGGAACATGGTGCAGACTGGAAATGGAAAGATCAGTGTCCTGCAGTGAAGTGCACCACACCATCGCCCAGGCAGCCACCTGTGTTTGCAGACTGACCTCAGGAGGGGCCGTTGCACCTCAGTCAGGGCCCCCAAGACCAGTTCTTAAAGGAGGAATATAACAACATGGGCAGGAAAGAGACTGACCCAAAACAGAGGGTTGGGATTCCTGCTGCAGAGAACCATATTCCTTCAACAAGTACGTGCTCCATGACTTGGTAGGTGGGTGTGCCCGCCCCACCGTGGGCTGGGCGCTAGGATGCTCAAGGCCCAGAGCCTTCCCAGTGGTGTAGCGGGGCTATAGGCAGAGAGCCAGGGGTTGGAATCCAGCAAAGCCGGGCTGGAACCCTGGTTCTATTAGGAGTGAGGCCCTCAGAGCCTCAGTTTCCTCATCTCAAAAACAGGAAGATGATGCCTTGCGTGGTGGGTATAAGGCTCCAACAAGAAAGCACCTTGAAAATATCGATAAAATTTGCACTCCCTGAGGGCGCAACAGGTGGGGATAACAGAAAGTGACACGCACAGTGACCTGTAAGCAGGATGGGCTTCTTGTGGGTATGATCTGCAGTCACACACGGCCCTATGCTTGGAGGGCCCCCACTTGATTTAATCTCTGCTGTTGCTGTCTTAAAAGCTTAAGAATTTTTAAATGAGGGGCCCCGCATTTCCATTTTGCACTGGATCCCACAAATTACGTAGCTGGTTCTGCCTGTAAGTGAACATTAAGTTCCTGTGGATAAAATTTATGGGGTCTAATCCTCTTGATCCCATTTGGATAATGTTGTGAAAAGGACTAAAGCTCACAAAACAGCCTAAAAGGACATCAGTGTGGCCAACAGTACGCAACCAACTCATATAGTACTCAACCTCCCCCTCTCCCTCCGTCCCTCTCTCTCTTCCTCTCACACTCATCATGAAGTGAGAAATAGCAACTTACAGGTGCAGGGGAGTATAGAACTTCTAACAAAAACAAGGCACCTGCCTCACCTGGGACACAGAGGTAGCAAGGCTGGGGCCCCTCTGTTCCGACCTGGCTAGAGATGTGCTAGTGGCTCTGTGCTCCACACTTCTTCTCTGTCCTGAACAGACTGCCCCCCATCCTTTCAGGGAGCCAGGAGCTCCTGGCTCCCTGAATGCGAATTGTGTGTTCCAGTTGGCAGTGCAAATCTCATTCTTATTAAAAGGACAGTCTGAATTCATGACAAATAAATCTCTGAAAGAAATACAATTGTATTACTTAAAAACCCATGGCCCTAGAAGCCAGTATTTACCGAGCACCAAGCAGAGACTCAGTCTATAGAGAAGGTAATGTGTTCACATTAAGGCGGTCACCTTAAAATAGCTCTCAACCAGGACAAACACATGGCCTTGACCAAAGATGAACGCTAACATTTGCTGGGTGTGACCTCTAGACCAAGTACTGCTCTACTGTAGATGTATTTTCTCAATTTATCCTCATAGTATGTTTATCCCCATTTTTACAGACAAGAGGGCTGATGCCCAGAGAGGCTAAGCCACTTACTCGAGCTCACACAGAACATGGCAGAGCTGGAATTAGCACCTAGGTCATCTGGCATCAGAGACAACACTCACTCACCAATCTGGACCACAGCACGGCTTTTAGTAAATATTTGCCCCTCACTTTGCTTTTCTGTAAAATGATAGGTGGGACTAGGTAACCCCTAAGGTCCCACTTCTCCCCACAATGGAGAGGCAGAAAAGTGCACCAGTTAAGAGTCCAGACTTATGTATAAAGTGGTTCTGCCAGGCTCTCTCTTGAGGGGGATCATGATGAGGGATTGTGGGCGAAAAATTTAGAAGAGAGACAGGCACACATGAGTGCTGCACTAGCTGTCATCATTACACAGCCTTAGGCACAGCCAGGGTGGACTCTAACGGTTCTCTAATTCCAGCTCTCTAGGCTCCTGAGGTCTCCTGGAAACATGAGAATGTCTTTGACCCCCAAAAAGCCCCTCTCTGGGGACACCCTCTCTGACAGCACCTGCAATTAAGAAGGTGGTCATGGAGCACAGGCGACAAAGATCCCTGTGCCCCCTGTATCTCACTGGCTGCTGGCCACTAGAGCTGCCCTGGCCCAACCATCTCGGTCAAACCTCCAGTAACTGTCAGCCAAGACAGTGACAACTGTGAAAGGAACATTTTCCACAGGGCCGATTTCAAGTTCACTGGAAACTCCACTGCACTGGTAGCCAGGGGACAATGGGTAAATTTCTTCCCACTGTGATCCAAGTTCCTCCCCCCTAAAACTCTGGTCTATGCTGGCTCAAATGCCAGCTCCACCATTTGGTAGCTGGGCCACCCTTGGAAAATTACTTAACTCTACGCATCAACCCCCTTACTTACAAAACACCAGCAACACAGCCTAGCCAGGCCTCCTGCGTTCAAATCCCAGCTCCACCACGTATAAGCCTCGTGACTTAAAGCAAGTCAACGCGTGGACCTGGCCTCGGTTTCCTCATCTATAAAATGGGGTAATAATAATAGCACCTCCCTCAGAGGCAAGCTTAACTGAGTTAATGTTTGCAAAGCACTTGGATATATATATTTACTCTCGTCATCATTACTTTTAGGCACTGTCATGATTATATGAGATAACTGTAGCTCCCAATGGACACCCAGAAAATGTGAGTACCATCGATATATTTATTATTACTATTATTCTAGCCAGCACAGCCCTTTCAGCCTTGAGAGATAAGGAGAGAAAATTCTTCGGCAAATTAGAAGTGGGAGCAGAAACCCCAAATGAAAGCTAGCAATGCGGGTAGGGGCTGCCCCTAAAGCACGGTGGTTTGGAAAAGGGTAAAGGGCCCGCGGCTCCAGGCAGCCGCGGATCCCCTATCTCCCCAGGCCTGGTCATCATGAAACGCCCGCGAACAAGTCCTCAGACCCCAACTGCCAGCGGCGCAGATCCGGCCCCTTCGGACCGGGTCCTCCGAGGAACTCTCCGAAGAGAGTTAAAGGGAAGTTTCTGCCCACACTAACCTGCCAACAGCTGTCGGTGCTGCCTCTTGGGAAGAAAACAGAAAACAAACCAAAACTAGGGCTCGCACGGTTCTGCTCGCATCTTCCACTTGGAGGCCTGGCCCCTGGAAGGGAACCTGGCTGCGGAGGGTCTCCGCGGAGCTCTGGGGTCCCGGCCGGGCGGGGAGCGAGGAAGGGGCGCAGCATCCCCGACCCTTGGGAGGCGCCGCTGTGCTCCGCCGCCTGGCCAACCAGACCCGGGCCCACGGACGCCGACGGGGACCGGGAGGAGACAGCCCAGAGGCGGCAGGGCCTCCCGGCCAGGCCCAAGCCCCGAGCCCCGGGCTCCCCGGCACCGGCCGCCCTCGCCCCACCCGAGGGGTCCCCGAGGCGCCCGGTCCCAACGCGCTTACCCGGGGCCGGAGCCCGCGCCAGCAGCACGACCGCCGCCAGCGCCAGGAGCCGCATCTCCCCGCCGCGCCCAGCGCTGTGACGCGGGAGCAGCGCCGCCGCCCGCCCGCCACCACAACCAACCCCCACCCGCCCCCCCACACACCGACCCCACCGCCGCGCAGCCCGCCCCGCGCCCGCCCCGCGCCCGCCCCCGGCTCGGCCCCGGCCCCCGCCCCCGCCCCCGCCCCTCGGGCCGCCTGCCCCCGCCGGGCCAGGGCTTCTGGGCCCCGAGCGGCGGAGGCGCGGGCCGCCGCCAGCGATCCTCTCTGTGATCTTGTGGGCGGCTCATTTCACCACCCCCATTTCACAGATGTGAAAATTGAGGTTCTGAGAGGCGTTGGCTCAGACACAGGACATACTAGATGCAGTGACATTGGAGGTCACTTTGCATTACAGGCCAGTTATTGCTAAGGGGAGGGTGTCTTGGAGGTTGGGAAGAGGGTGGGGGGCGACTCCCAAATTCTGGGGCTTCCCTGACCTAAGGCTAACCTGCTGCCCAGGGAACCTCCTGCAGTCGCTCCACAGAGACCTTTGGGAGCCGAGGAGCAGCTGAATTTAGATGCGGGTGGGAGGGTATCAGGGACGGAGACGCTTGGAAAATTGAGAAGGTCCACACAGATAAGTTCAGAGTGTGTGGACACTATAAACAGTGACGGCTGCTTAGGGTGCCCTCAGCCACAGACCTGGGCTAGATACTTTGCACCATGTCACTAAATCCCGACACTGTGAGACCCTGGGACAGCTTTTCAATCTCCGTGTGCCTCAGTTTCCTCCACCTGTACAGTGGGAAAATTGGCATGTCCCCTCATTGGGTGTTGAAGATCAAGTAAGACATTTCCAGTTACGGCACTGCACCTGGCCCCTGCCCTGTGAATGTCACCTATCTTTACTCTTATTATTACAGATAAGGAAGCAGAGGCAGAGAGATGAAAGGGCTGATCCTTGCCAGGATGTGATGACAAGGCCATTCAGCCCAGATTACTCTGAGCCAATGCTCTTTTCACCATGCTTCTAAGTTTGAGCCTGACTGATGTGCTAATCCAGCATCTCTACAGCAAAGAAAGTGTATATTAGGTATGTTTTGTGCGTGTCTGTCAGGGGAGGGCTTTGTGGGGTTCCAGAAAAGGTGGGCCCTAATTGGGACTGGGGTCCCTGGAAGAGGAAGAGAACATGGCACCCTCTCCTTCTCTCTAAAAGCAGTGAATGGGGGTGGGGAAGGCATGGAGACAGAGGTGGTGCTGCCCACTGGTGCTCAGCCCCAGGGCATGTCCCAGAGGAGACGTCCACCCTGCAGCCCAGGCCAGTGGGTATACAGCCCTTGTGATCTCTCCAAATGCCAGGAACTCCCAGGGGGCCAGGGTCTCCCTAGGGCTCTTCTAGCTGGAGACCCTCACAAGGAGCAGGGCCCTACAGGGACTGGGCTGACTGTCCAGACAGTCTGACTGAAGGGAGCAGCCCCAGCTCTCGCCACCAGGTGGGTGATGGAACTGGGGAGCCAACAGGGAACTGGCTGCAAGGCTGCTGGGTCTGATGCCAAGGACAAGAAGTGAGGGCAAGAACGGATGTCGAACTGGATCCTACAGCCCAGGAATGCACACTTTTCTGGGAGACTTCCAGACCAGAGCTTGGAAACCACTTTGCAAGTGTGAGCAACTAAGCCTCACACCCCATCCCTTTGAGGTCCCAGGCTCCAATTTATGGGTTAGTAAGCTCAGGCTCAAAGAGGACTGGAGACCAGTCCAGGGCTCTTGGGCCACAGAGTATCTGGACGGGGAACTTGGATTCTGACTATGGAAGACAGCGCTTGGTGAGACAGGGGAGAGGATGCCAGAGGAGGAGCACTGGTTCTGAAAGTCAACCAACATCCCACCCTGGGTACCACTTGTGGGTCCTTGGGCAACACAACCTCTCTGAACCTCATTGTCCACATGTAAAATGGCATGTCAGCATGACTGCACATGGGTAGGGCGCTAAGGAAGCGGCAGGACTGTTTGGTGTCCTCCATGACCTCCCACCTCAACCTTTGTGCTTGCTATTTACTCCCCATTGGTGGAAAGTAGAAAGGGCCCTTTACACAGGTCAGTCACATTTAAAGGAGCCAATTTTTGCTTTGGTCATTGTATCACTTTTTTTTTAAGGTTTTTTTTTTTGTTTTTTGGATATGGACCATTTTTTTAGTCTTTATTGAATTTGTTACAATATTGCTTCTGTTTTATGTTTTGTTTTTTTGGCCGCATGAGGCGCCTGTGGGATCTTAGCTCCCCGACCTGGGATTGAACCCACACTCCTTGCATTGGAAGGTGAAGTCTTAACCACTGGACAACCAGGGAAGTCCCCCATTGTATCATTTCTGAATATCGTTCTCTCCTCGCAGAACTGAGCAGATATTCCACTCAGCATTAGTCTTAAATGCCCACCCTTTGCCTCGGTTCCTCTTTGCCAGAATTGATGCTGTGCTGGAGATTTAGGGGCTGGAAAGTGCTTTTCTTGCAGTTCTGCGAAACGTAACGTTGTTCTCTTTTCAGCTGTGTGCTCTCTCAGTACTTTTCAGCTTCCCAAATAATCTACCAGACCATCTTGATAAGACCTTTGCTGCATGACCCGGGAACCGGGAAACACACCCAGTCTCCAGGGCAGACACCGCCAATGACCCGGATGAGATGCAGTATTTCAGTTGTTCTGGACTACAATAGCAAAGACCTTCCAGATACTGACCTTCACGCTGCTGCCTGCTCACTCGCTTACAACCTTAGGACAATTTGAAAATCCTCCACCAACTTATTTGTCCAACCCCTGGCTCCATCAGGTCTATGTTCTAAATTAGAAGAATAATACAACCCAATTATTTTTTTAAGTTATCTCTTCTAAAAATCCCCCCTGTCTGGAGTTTCTAGACGAGCATTCAGACTGTTTTGAAGTTGATCCAGGTCCCGGTGGACACTAAGCTATGCGGAGGCCCTACTCAACTAATCCTGATTCTATCGGTCACCACCGAAAGAATCTTAGAAATCCAAATTCCCTCAAAATAAATGTGTTATGCGATCACATGGCAGGCTGGGGAGTGGAGGTCTCCTTTTCCTCTTCCATTATTCAGTTGTTTACTAAAACCTGGTCTGAGATGAAAGAAGAGGGCGTGGTTTTTTAATCAGCTTGATTTTGTGTATAGCAAGTATATTCCTAAACTAAAAGCACCAAAGAAAAGTAAACACCCCCTTCTAAGGTGTTTGTTGGGTTTCTGTGTTGCTTTTTCAGTCTGGATTTATACAAGTAATTTTTAAGATCTCCTCCTCCTTAATGCTCGCAGGCATTCTGGAGCCAAAAGCACTTAGTTGCATGCTTGAATTATCACCAATAGGGAGTGAACAAAGAGTACACTCCGGACAGAAAGTGTTTCAGCTGTGACTGATGGAGGGAGGATAGGAAAGAAGAGATCATGGTTACAGAGGACGCATCCATCCAACCAGAAGAAGCAGCCATCAACCAGCAATGGTGGAACTTTCATGAAACCTGCAGCATCTTTCCCATGCACAACTAGGGAAGGGGTGTGGAGTGCACTGGTTTTTCCCTAAAGGTAAGGAAATATGAAGCTATGAGGCTGACAGTACATCTAGATAGAAATAGCTTCTCCAAACAAAGCTATAGTATATAAGTTTGGGTCATTCCATGACCTTAGCAGTGATTGTGAGCTTGGTTGTCAGGCTCTGCAGGCTGGATGCAGAAAGAAACGGCCCCCAGATTCTAGAAGTCTCCAGATGGGAGGGACTGGAAAGAGGGTGGGATTGGGAACTCACAGGTCATCTATATCACTGATTACAACAGAGCCTATGCCTGTTTCCTCTTCCTATAGTCCTGCTGGCAACATCTAACATGAAAGCAGCCCTTGAACTGAAAATTAAAGGATGCTGGGAGAGTCCCGCCAGCAGCGGGTGAGGGACTGTTCCAGGCAAGGGAACATGTGCCAAAGCACAGAGGCTAAAGGACACAGGACTTTCAAGTCCTGCAGGTGGCTTCTGGGGGCCTAAAAGACCAGTTGAGTCTGGGGAGTGAGATGTGGATGGAGAGACAGGCAGGAACAAAGCCCTAGCGGCCCCACATATGGCAGATCCAGGAGTTTGTACTTTATCCCAATGATGGTGGTTGCCATCAGTGAAGGAGGGGAGATGTTGCAAGGGTCCCCCAGGCATCACAGAGGAGGCACCACTAGGTTTGGAGGCAGGGGCTACGTTGAGTCTAATATCTCCAATGCTATTGACAATAATCCAAGAGAAATGTTGAATTTCAGAGTCTATAACTCACAGTGAGGGTAGAGAAAAAGGAAAGACAATTGACTCATCCTCAAGCCAATGTGAGATGCCTTGAAAACAAGTGTCATTGTCCAGGATCTGAGACAAGAGAAGGGCTGAGTACTGAGCCCTAGAAAACCCATTCCTGCACAGTGCCCAGTGCATGGTGGGCCATCAATATATATCTCAGGGGTGAAGGAGAAAGAAAGGAAGCTGTTTCTTGGGCTACCATAACAAAGTGCCACAAACTGGGGGGCTTAAACCACAGAAATGTATTGTACTCACCGTACTGGAGGCAGAAGCCTGAGATCAAGGTGCCAGCAGGTTTGCTTTCCTCTGAGGCTTCTCTCTTTGGCTTGTGGATGGCCATCTTCTCCCTGTGTCTTCACCTGGTCTTTCTTCTTTGTGTGTCTGTGTCCTAACCTCCTCTTATGAGGACACCAGTCATATCGGATTAGGGCCCACCCTACTGACCTCATTTTAATTTAATTACCTCCCTATCTCCAAGTATAGTCACTGTCTGAGGTGCTAGGGTTTAGGACTTCAGCATGTGAATTCCGGGGGAGATTCAATCCAGCCCATAACAGCAAGGAAGAAGGGAGGAGGAGGAAAGAAGGAGGCAGCCAAAGAGGGAGCTGATGAAGGCTG